ACACTTCAAATGATGTAGTTGAAGTTTTGGTGGTAAAGATCGAAAACCAAAGCCTTGTCATTGTGATAGTATACAAGCCTCCAGATGCAACTTCCCAGCAATTCCAGGAGCAGCTTGAGAAAATTGACCACTGTCTGGAAAATCTCCCAACCCCTGCCCAAAGCATCTTACTACTAGGAGATTTCAACCTGAGACACCTAAAATGGAGGAATATAGCAAACAGTGTTTTAGCAGAGATCACTCCGGGAGGCAGCTCAGATGAAAATTCACACACACACGAACTATTAAATCTCTGCAACAAATTCACTTTAAACCAGCAAATAGTAGAGCTTACAAGACTAGAAAATATGCTGGACCTCATCTTCACTAACAATGATGATCTGATACGTAATATAACTGTATCACGGACAATTCACTCAGATCACAACATAATAGAGGTACAGACATGTATGCACAGGGCTCTGGACCAGCAAAATATAAGCAGTCATGAAGGTCTCTTCACAAAATTCAATTTCAATAACAAAAACATACAATGGGATTAAGTAAACCATGTCCTAAATGAAACAAGCTGGGAAGATATCTTAAACAACATGGACCTGAACATCTGCCTTGAAAAAATGAATTCTGTGGTTCTTGAGATCTGCTCAATACATTCCATTAAGAAAAAGAAAGAGAAGATGTAAACTAGAAAGAGAGAGACGTTCCCTATACAGACGAAGTCGAAGAGTCACAGAGCTGCTGAGTAGGGTCAGTATATCTGAAATACGAAGGGAAGCACTAATCAATGAAATTGCAAATATCGAACTCAAGCCGAAGGAATCTTATAGAAAACAAGAATCACAGGAAGAACTAAAAGTCATAAAGGAAATTGAAAAAAAACCAAAATACTTCTTCTCTTATGCCAAATCTAAGGGAAAAACAACATCCAGTATTGGGCCCCTGCTTAGGCGGAATGGGACATACACAGATGATAGCCAAGAAATGAGTGAGATACTGAAGTCCCAATATGACTCACTGTTCAGTGATCCACTGCCCACTCTAAGGGTCGACAATCCAAATGAATTCTTTATGAATGAAACCCAAAATTTGGTCATCTCAAAACTCTAGAATATTATTATAACTCAACAAGATTTTGAGGAGGCAATTAATGATATGCCCATGCACTCTGCCCCAGGACCAGACTCGTGGAACTCCGTGTTCATCAAGAACTGCAAGAAGTCCCTATCACGTGCCTTCAGCATTTTATGGAGAGGGAGCATGGACACAGGGGTCATCCCACACACACTAAAAACAACAGACATAGCCCCACTCCACAGAGGTGGCAGTAAAGCAATTGCAAAGAACTACAGACCGATAGCACTAACATCCCATATCATAAAAATCTTTGAGAGGGTTCTAAGAAGCAAGATAGCCAATCACCTAGATACCCATCAGTTACACAACCCAGGGCAACACAAGTTTAGAGCCGGTCACTCCTGCTTCTCCCAGCTACTGGACCACTATGACAAGGTCCTGGATGCTGTAGAGGTTAAACAAAATACAGATGTAGTATACACAGACGTTGCGAAAGCTTTCGACAAGTGTGACCATGGTGTAATAGCACACAAAATGCGGGATAAAGGAATAACGGGAAAAGTTGGTAGTTGGATTTACAACTTCCTGACAAATAGAACACAAAGAGTAATAGTAAACAGAGTAAAGTCCCAGGCAGCCATGGTAAAAAGCTGTTCCACCACAAGGCACAGTACTCGCTCACATTCTATTCCTCATCCTCATTTCTGACATAGACAGAGATGTAAGCCATAGCTCTGTGTCTTCCTTTGTGGATGACACCCGGATCACCATGGCAGTGACCTCCATCGAAGACACTGCAAGACTCCAAGCGGACATTAACTAAATCTTCAAATGGGCCACCCAAGAAATATGAAGTTCAATGAAGAAAAATTTTAACTACTCAGATATGGAAAACTTGAAGAAATTAAAAATGTGTCAAGGTATACACAAATTCTAACCATACAATAGAGTGGAAAAGTAATGTGAAGGACCTGGGAGTCATAATGTCAGAGAATCTCACCTTCAAAGACCACAACAATGTATCTACCTCATCCGCTAGGAAAATGATAGGATGGATAATAAGAACCTTCAAAACTAGGGATGCCAATCCCATGATGATTCTCTTCAAATCACTTGTGCTGTCTAGGCTGGAATACTGCTGTACACTAACGGCCCCTTTCAAGGCTGGCGACATTGCAGACCTGGAGCATGTACAAAGAACTTTCACAGCACACATAAGTGCGATAAGGCACCTAAACTACTGGGAACGGTTGAAGGTACTTGATCTGTATTCCCTTGAATGCAGGCGAGAGAGATACATGATAATATACACTTGGAAGGTCTTGGAGGGATTGGTACCAAACTTGCACACGAAAATCACTCCATATGAAAGCAAAAGACTCAGCAGGAGATGCAACATTCCCCCGATGAAAAGCACCTAAAGTCAGTACCTGACCAACCGGGCTGTGGTTCATATGTTAGCTTGTGTGTGGCCAGCAGTAACAGCCTGTTTGATCAGACCCTGATCCACCATGAGGCCTGGTCTTAGACCGGGCCACGGGGGCATTGACCCCCGACACCCTCTCCAGGTAAACCCTTAAACTGTCCAAATGTAGATCTAAGTTCACATACGTAGCGCTCTGACCTTTATTATCCCCATTTGAGAGCATGTAAAAAAAATGTAGATCTACGTTCGGAGCCCCCCACATGTGGACGTAGATCTACGTTTGGACAGTTTAAAGGTTAAAAGAAAGAAAATATTTTTTAATGGCTATCAATGTTAATTAAATGCCACGCTTAATCAGAGTGCGCTGCAAATGTCTCAATTACTGCTACCCAAATTGGTCAGACTTCATTTACATAATAAACTTTAGCATTTTTCCTAATAAGTTTAACTGAAACCATCCTGCACTTTTCCTTGTCTAGGGAGATGCGTGACTCCACTTGCTATTTCTCGGTCCATTTCGAGGGGCTGATCTCCTAGCTCTGCTGTTCCTCTATCTAGCTATTTGAGAAGGCGGAGTTCCAGGTTTTGGTCGTGTTGCTTAGATGTTTCGGGATACAGCTCCAGCTTCTGGGCCTGTTTTCTATTTAGGGTCAAAGCTCCTGCTTCTGGGTCTATTATTTAATTGTTTTTGGGTGACACTTCAGCTTTTGGGCCTGTTTGCTATTTAGGGGCAAAGCTCCAGCTTCTGGGCCTGTTATTTGACGGTTTAGGGGTGATGTTCCAGTTTCTGGCCCTATTTGCTGTTTAGGGGGTGGAACTCCAGCTACTGGGCCTGGGACTGCTACTAAAGGTTGACTTGTATTAAAAGAGCCATTATGATACAGTACACTATATTTACACAAAATCAATTTGAGGTGAAGAATGGTAGTAATTTTAAGTTTTTATTTCAGGATTTTTAATAAACCTAAGTGGAGATGGGGAGGGATCAGTAATAGATGGTTTGGAAGTGCTTGAGAGATCCCATGTATAGATAAGTCATCAGCACTAAACTACAGACCAGTGTCACTGACTTGTAAAGTATGCAAAGTCATAGAGAAGATTATCAGGAGGAGAGTGGTGGAGCACCTGGAGCGGGACAACATAAACAGCAACCAGCACGGATTCAAGGAAGGCAAATCCTGTGCCACCAACCTTCTGGAGTTTTATGACAAAGTAACAGAAGTAAGACAGGAGAGAGAGGGGTGGGTGGATTGCATTTTCCTGGACTGCAGGAAGGCCTTCGACACAGTTCCTCACAAGAGATTAGTGCAGAAGCTGGAGGATCAGGTGCATATAACAGGAAGGGCACTGCAATGGATCAGAGAATACCTGACAGGGAGGCAACAATGAGTCATGGTACGTGATGAGGTATCACAGTAGGTGCCTGTGACGAGCGGGGTCCCAGAGGGGTCAGTCCTAGGACCAGTGCTAATTTTGGTATATGTGTGAATGACATGATGGAAGGGATAGATTCTGAAGTGTCCCTGTTCACAGATGATGTGAAGTTAGTGAGGAGAATTAAATCAGATGAGGATCAGGCAGGACTACAAAGAGACCTGGACAGGCTGGACACGTGGTCCAGCAACTGGCTTCTCGAATTCAACCCAGGCAAATGCAAAGTCATGAAGATTGGGGAAGGGCAAAGAAGACCGCAGACAGAGTATAGGCTGGGTGAATAAAGACTGCAAACCTCACTCAAGGAGAAAGATCTTGGGGTGACCATAACACCGAGCATGCCTCTGGAGGCACACATCAACCAGATAACTGCTGCAGCATATGGGTGCCTGGCAAACCTGAGAATAGCATTCTGATACCTTAGTATGGAATCGTTCAAGACACTGTACACTGTGTACGTCAGGCCCATACTGGAGTATGCAGCACCAGTTTGGAACCCATGCCTGGTCAAGCACATCAAGAAATTAGAGAAAGTACTAAGGTTTGCAACAAGGCTAGTTCCGGAGCTCAGGGGAATGTCCTACGAAGAAAGGTTGAGGGAAATCGGCCTGATGACACTGGAGGACATCAGGGTCAGGGGAGACATGATAATAACATACTAAATACTGTGTGGAATAGATAAGGTGGACAGAGACAGGATGTTCCTGAGAGGGGACACAGAAACAAGGGGTCACAATTGGAAGCTGAAGACTCAGATGAGTCACAGGGATGTTAGGAAGTATTTCTTCAGTCATAGAGTCGTCAGGAAGTGGAATAGCCTAGCAAGTGATGTAGTGGAGGCAGGAACCATATATAGCTTTAAGATGAGGTATGACAAAGCTCAGGGAGCAAAGAGAGAGAGAGGACCTGGTAGCGATCAGTGAAGAGGCGGTACCAGGAGCTGAGTCTCGACCCCTGCAATCACAATTAGGTGAGTACACAATATTTTCATGATTAGGAAAACTGAATAAATTTTTTTTTTACCCAGAGGGGATAACCATTTTTAATACATTTATGTATATTTTAGGTGTGTGCTGTGCTGTTACATGCTGTTTGTACAACGTACATCCTGCATAGCCACTGGTTGGAAGGTAGGATGAGCCCCCTCTTTCTGCGCATTCCTCTCTGTAATTTGGGAGAAACTGTATATTTACTTGGCCTCATTCCATTATTCTTTTATCAACAATTAGGCCATGATATGTTAGATCGTGAGAGAAAGATGCCGTTTTTGCCTCTGATGCTCATATCTGTATATTGTAGTGTTGGAGTGATGTATTCCTGGTTGAAATATTATAATTTTGTATTAAATCCAAGAAAGGGGAAGAAAAAATCTCATTGAGATACTTACTGCTATATTTAATGTGAAATCTGTAAGGTAGCTAAGAAGCTATCACTGCAGTTTTTTTTTTTTTTTGCATGATTATGTTTAGATTGTTATCTGTTTACTGTACCAATTTTTCATTAAAAGTGGTATAACAAAAACATGCTCTCATTTCACCTCGGACAAATGCAGTAATTGCATCTTCTCATTTACTTGGTAACAAATGTATTCAAAGTAGTTCATATTATACACTACTGTATATGAATATGGGCCAAACCCAAACCCATGTGGAAGATACCAATATACATTTTATGGTCAATCAGATATAGTACTGTAGTGAGAATAAATTTAGCATATCAGTCATGTATTTTTAAATTCTTGAAATGTCAGTTTCTAGGTATTTTCATGAAAAGTGTTGTTAGTTCCTACACTTTGCAGTTATTTTTATTTGTTTTAATAAAGAGGGAAGTGCTAAACCCATAGGGGTCATATTGTACCTTTTGAGGGGACTACTCAGCCTTGTATTAAGTGGATTTGATTTGGATTATTATTATTACATTAAAAAGAAGTAATAAACCAGCAAATCATATAACTTAATTTGGAATTAAGAGATGCTTTATCTTTCATGTGTTTTAAGCATTGTGAACACTTCATTACCATACTGACACCTTCATTAAACTATGAAACTGGCAATTCTGAAATTATATCCCCACCTGCTTTTAACATTTTTGTATTGATCCCATCAATCCCAGTTGCTTTACTGCTTTTGATTCAACCTACTGCCTCACTCACCTTTCACCTCTGGCTCTTCTTCACTCCTAAAAGGTGTACCTCTCTTTCCAAGCATGAAATCACTGCCTCCCTTTCTTCTTCAACATTAAACAGCTCAAAATATTTCCTCCATCTTCCCAATACATTTACCTTCCTATCTAATAATTTCCCTCTATATAGTTTTTAACCCTTAACCCTTTCAGGGTCCAAGGCCCAAATCTGGAGTCACGCACCAGTGTCCAAGAATTTTAAAAAAAAAAATTTGTTATTTTTTCTTATGAAATCATAGAGAATCTTTTTGTGAAGGTAATAAAACAAAAAGTACGAAATTTGGTGGAAAATTGACGAAATTATGCTCTCGCGAATTTTGATGTGTCAGCGATGTTTACGAATCGGCGATTTTGCCGACTTTGACTCCCATTTTAGGCCAATTACATTATTCCAATCAACCAAATTCTTAGCTATTTCACTAGTATTACTTCTATTCTATCGATTGAGCACAAGAAATCGCCAAGTCAACTGTTTCAACTACAAAATAAAGTGATCGGAAATTGTTAATTTGGCCAATTTAACACAAAGTTCAAAATATTCCAATTTCAAAATAGGGTCCAGAATAAACAATGTAGGCATTCCTGGCACTAAACTAACATTTCCTCTGTTCATTAGTTATGTTTTGAGGCTTTACAAATAAATTCCATTTTGATTTTTTATTCACATAATGAATTTTTATTCACACCAAAAAATAGAAGATTTACTGTTATGCAATACTGTGATAATTGTATAAATATCATCACCATATTTGTGAATGTATATTAGACCCACCAGCTGACGTGTATTAGACATGTGAGGTCGTTTGTTTACTCTTGAATATCGGCAAAAATTTAACATTTCCGCTACTTTGTGCTCAGTTTCAAGCCATTTCCAGTGCTAAAACCAATGAAAATCATCTCTATTTCTGTAATATGTCTTCCATTCTATCAAATGAGACCAAGAAATCGCAAATACAACTATAAAAAACATACGAAAAAACACTGCAAAGTTGCTGTTTTAATCGAAAAATCATGATTTCAGTTTTTTTCTCTCATTATACACAGTGTGCTGCAGGATCTGTTTTATGTGGTGCACACATACCACATAGATGTATTCTCTCATATCTAGGCCCAAATGTACCACTCACAGTTTATCAGAGTGAGCTGAGCTCATGGCGTAGATCTACGGTTTGGACACTCACCGTAAAGCCGTAGATCTACGGGACGGACCCTGAAAGGGTTAAACTGTCCAAACAGATCTACGTTCACATGTGTAGTGCTCCAAAAGTAGATCTATGTTTTCTACATATTTTCAAATATAACAAAAAAAAATGTAGATCTAAGTTTTTTTTTTATACGTTTTCAAAAGTAAAAAAAAAAAAAGGTCTATATTTTTTTACATACTTTCAAATGTTGAAAAAACATAGATCTGCGTTTGGACAGTTTAAGCGTTAACAGTTGAATTGGTTTTTTATGCTCGACAAAATTTCTTGACAAAACCTTACTCTCTCTCTCATTTGCTTTCATTTTACACTCCTTCATCACTCTTTTACTCTCCATATACTCCACCCTCTTTATATTATTTCTGCTCTGAAAAAAATTCTCATATGCTGACTATCTCTCCATTATCAATCCTCTCGGCTCCCACATCCACAAACTTCTGCTGCCCACTACCAATGCATTCTTAACCCTTTGACTGTTTCGGTCATATATATACGTCTTAGGAGCCAATGTGTTTGACTTATTAATACGCCAAAATTCTAGTGCCTTCAAATCAAGCAGGAGAAAGCTGGCAGGCCCACATCTAAGAGAATGGGCCTCCATGGTCAGTGTGTGCACTATAAAAAAAAATCGAGGAGCCAGTGGTGCATTGTGGGAATACCATTTCAGTAGTCCTTGTTCAGCATGCCTAGCAGTAAGAAATATGTGACTCCCTGGTGAATCTGGGCCTCTTCTCTTCCCAAGTGATGCTCTAACACAGGTGAAAGTATCAGTGAAGATGAATTTCATGTTTTTGAGGAGTTTGTGACTGAAAGCAATGACCAGGATACCAGAAGAAAGAAAGAAAGAAAAAGAAAGAAAGAAAAAGAAAGAAAGAAAAAGAAAGAGAGAAAGAGAAAAAAGGAAAGAGAAAGAAGGAAAGAGAAAGAGAAGGGAAGAAGAAAGAAAAAGAAAGAAAGAATGGTAGGTGGTTAGAAGGAGGTGGGTAGGAAGACATGTGACCCCATAGGTGTTGACAGCCAGTAATATGTCATTTTGATAGCTGCCGGACCCTGACTCAGCACATTTAGGAGTACACACGCACACACACACACTCCATTTAAGAAAGGAGACAGAAACGAGGCACTAAACTACAGACCAGTGTCTCTGACGTGTATAGTATGCAAAGTCATGGAGAAGATTATCAGGAGGAGAGTGGTGGAGCACCTGGAACAGAACAAGATTATAAATGACAGCCAGCATGGATTCATGGAAGGCAAATCCTGTGCCACAAACCTTCTGGAGTTTTATGACAAGGTAACAGAAGTAAGACACGAGAGAGAGGGGTGGGTGGATTGCATTTTCCTGGACTGCAGGAAGGCCTTCGACACAGTTCCTCACAAGAGATTAGTGCAGAAGCTGGAGGATCAGGTGCATATAACAGGGAGGGAGGGCACTGCAGTGGATCAGAGAATACCTGACAGGGAGGCAACAATGAGTCATGGTACGTGAAGAGGTATCACAGTGGGCACCTGTGACGAGCGGGGTCCCACAGGGGTCAGTTCTAGGACCAATGCTATTTTTGATATATGTGAATGACATGATGGAAGGGATAGACTCTGAAGTGTCCCTATTTGCAGATGATGTGAAGTTGATGAGAAGAATTAAATCAAATGAAGATGAGGCAGGACTACAAAGAGACCTGGACAGACTGGACACGTGGTCCAGAAACTGGCTTCTCGAATTCAACCCCGCCAAATGCAAAGTCATGAAGATTGGGGAGGGCAAAGAAGACTGCAGACAGAGTATAGGCTAGGTGGACAAAGACTACAGACCTCACTCAGGGAGAAAGATCTTGGGGTGACCATAACACCGAGCACATCTCCGGAGGCACACATCAACCAGATAACTGCTGCAGCATATGGGCACCTGGCAAACCTGAGAATAGCGTTCCGATACCTTAATAAGGAATCGTTCAAGACACTGTACACTGTGTACGTTAGGCCCATACTGGAGAATGCAGCACCAGTCTGGAACCCACTAGTTCCAGAGATCAGGGGAATGTCGTGCGATGAAAGGTTGAGGGAAATCAGACTGATGACACTGGAGGACAGAAGGGTCAGGGGAGACATGATAACGACATACAAGATACTGCGGGGAATAGATAAGGTGGACAGAGAGAGGATGTTCCAGAGAGGGGACACAGAAACAAGGGGTCACAACTGGAAGCTGAAGACTCAGATGAGTCACAGGGATGTTAGGAAGTATTTCTTCAGTCATAGAGTCATCAGGAAGTGGAATAGCCTAGCAATTGATGTAGTGGAGGCAGGAACCATACATAGTTTTAAGACGAGGTATGACAAAGCTCAGGAAGCAGAGAGAGAGAGAGGACCTAGTAGCGATCAGTGAAGAGGCGGGCCCAGGAGCTGAGTCTTGACCCCTGCAACCACAATTAGGTGAATACACACACACACACACACACACAAACTTCCAGAAGATAATAATAGCAGTTCTATATAAGTGTCCAGTGACTACAGGTCCTCCATCACAAATCCGTCATCATTGGGACCTGTAGTGTACCGGATTACTGAGTTTGCTGGATTACAGAGTGGTTAGGTTAGAATACACTTAATAAAATTAACCAACTTGACTTACACAGTTCATTGAACATCGGCAAAAATCGAACATTTCTGCTACTTTGAGCTCAATTTCAAGGTACTTTTCATCATGAAAGCAATCAAAATCATGTCTATTTCTGTAATATATCTTCCATTCTATCAAATGAGTCCAAAAAAATGAGAATACAACCATAAAAACCATACGAAAATATACTGCAAAGAGGCAGCTAATGGCTGAGAAGTTAACTCCCTTATTTATCGTCCGTCTTTTTTATTTTTGTTGTACGTTAAGAAGCATCTTTCCATCATACATTGCCCAAGTTTCAATGAGATAGCCCAACAAACAACCGAGAAAAAAAAATATTTACCAAAAATCATATATGGCAAGCCCAAGCCAGGTACTGGAAATAAGTCACTTTGACTTTTCTGGGTTATCCTTGGTTCTCTATACATACACTGCTATGTATGATAATCTATGTAACTGTATTTGTGTATACCTGAATAAACTTATTTACTTCTAGTCTGTC